ATTCTCTATTCAATTTGCGATACTTCTGATACTCCTTTCGTAGACAGTTTGTACAGAGTGGCATCTTGAAGATGTCTTTCTGTTATTGCGATATCTAGATGATGAGGTATCACTACAAATTCGCCGCCTTTATCACTTGTTGACTAGCGTATCTCAGCAGCCTCTATCATTCTCTGAATCTGTTTTATGGCCTTTTTCTGCGTTCTACTGATGTTTGAGTGCATCTTGCTTCTACGAAACCTTGCTAGAGTCCTAAAAACATCGTCGGCAAAAAGACGAAAGTTTGCACCAACGCCAGGATTCGCATCTTGATGTTTAAAGAACATTCGCGGGTATTGGCAACCATGCTTCACTTTTTAGATCCACTCCCGCTCAGCACATCCTTTACAAACTAAAAAGCTGTGATCAGAAACATGTTTCGCACAGCTGCGAAGGTTTGTAGCGGTCGCAAGGAGATGGAGTCACTAGCCGTTGCGCGTAGTATAGCTTCACTGATCGGTTGACAACATGACGCGGTATAGGAGCCAGCAGGGGAAATTTGTGGAGAGAGCAAGAAAGTACGCAGCAGAAAAGATACCCTTCTGCATACCCTTCATCTCCGATGAAATGAGCACCACCGCCATTCGGCGGTGTCTGAGGAGGGCAGGACTAGACAATTCACTTTTGGTAGTAGATATACCTCCGAACAATTTGAAACGTATCTTTGTTCGGAATCGCATGTACGACCGCGGTTGCCCTGCTCCAAACTGCCCGATATGTCCAACAGCAAGGGACGGAGACTGCATGACTACGGGTGTTGTATACCTCATGTCATGCAAGGATTGCGGAAACGAATACATCGGAGAAACGGCACGCCCTCTGAGCATACGTATTAAAGAACATCTTAATGGTAAAGAGAATTACGCACATCCACTCCATTGGGCGCCCACAGAGTGCAAGATCATCAAGGAGAGTTGATTTTGGAGTGTAAGGATTTTAGCGCGCGAAGCCCAAACGTCCACTCGCAAAACTCTAGAAGCCTTTTGGATTAATAAATCGCAAGGAAGAGTGTATCGTCGAGTCATTTGTAATTTAATATGCCTAGTGCACACTTTACACGCTAATTGACGAACTGCAAAACTAGAACATGCTCATTTCCTGTGATTTCTCCTTCTTTCCTTATTTCTCTTGTTTTTATTGGTTACATGCTAGTTAGTAGAACGCATTTCTACACTTTATTGGACTAAAAAATGTTTTACTGGGAAGTTACAAGTATGGGTGCCGTCGCTAATAGCGTGTAGTGTGCAGTCTCACACATTATGACTCACATTACAAATGACTCGAGGTTATCTCTATCACACCAGAACTCGCACCGTATCTTAATCAGATCTTTTGGTCATGTGAAGACATGTTTAATTCCTTGCTCAAACGGTCAGTAAGCACTCGCTCGTACTATACTAGAACTTTACCGGCGAACGAAAGGTGAGTACTGCGTATGGCAGCCTGCTCCAGGCTCTGAAGAATGCGAATTATTGCCGAAACGTTAGACTAAATAAATAAATTACCAATCTCGGGCGATATTCCTGGAAGTTCGCGACATTCTAGCGTCCGCGAAATCACGGGAATCACGCAGAATACGCAACGTCATAGCTTCCTTCGCAACAAATATATTTTAAATCCTAAAGCAGCGTTTTGTTCAGATCGTCAAGGCAAATATTTTGATGTATAGCATGCCCTAGATATCTCTTTTCCAGTTTTCTCGAATTTTTCTGTGGAGGTCCTTTCGCAAGGATGTAACGCAGTCTGTGTAACATGAAAGATTCCAGTAAGCACTATTCGATCATACTGTTCTTCTAAATTATTGTACGCTAAAAAATAGGCTCAGGCTTCTTTGCAAAAGAGATAAGCGTTGGTGAATTCTGGAAAAATCACGCGTTTTTAAATTCTTCTCGCCATAATTTCCGTCGGAATGAGTATATTTCAAATCCGAAAACAGTGATATGCTCAGCTCATCAAGGCGAATCTTTTTGTATATAGCATGTATTTGATATTTTGATTTCAGTATTCTTAAATTTTCCCGCGGACGTCTTTTTGCGAAGGTGTAAGGCAGCGAGTATTTCCCCGACTAAATTCCAGCAAAGACCTTTCGATATACTTTTTCTGTAGATTATGATGCGCTAAATAGTAGACGCAGCTTTCTTTTCAAAGGAAATAGAAGGGTTTGTGAAATGTGAAAAAATCTTGTCGCCCCAAATTCTACTCGCCATAGTCCTAGAATACGAAGCTATCTTGCTAAGCAGATGAAAGTTTCGAAATCAGCAGGTCGGATAACCTCTATGAGCAAGTTTTTCGATGTGTTCGGGTTATTTCTTCTCGTTATACGCTCTGAAGGTTCGCCGATGGATTTTGCCCAAAATGTTGATGCCCTTGAATTGTAAGGAAACTTTGCTTATAGAGGTTTTTAAACACGCTCTTTACGAAAATCGTGGTCTTTGCAGATTACAGGGTCTTTTTGGAGAGATAGATTGAGGTGACTGTAACAGCACCACGAAAGTGCGTAACTTTGCCCACACTTCTCGCGTATCTGTCAGAAAACTTTCCTGCTTGCTTTTCTAAGTCAAAGTTACTGGGAAGTGTGCTATCGAATGTTGCATGATTCACTCTATGAAAATCGCCGAGTTACGAGCCTACGAAAATACGTCTCATGAATTTTGCCCAAAATGTGAGGATCGCATATTTCGTCGAAATCCCACCGTGAGTGCTTGTATGACACTCGCATTGCGGATATTATGCTTGTTTTGCTCAATGGCTCCCACTGTATTGAATATGGTGCTTGCGTGTGCTTCAGCAGCTCAATTGAATATCAAAGCTATTTCGTGGCTAGACTTAAACTACCAAATCTAGCACAATGAGATCCATCAAGGATGTATAAAGATTTGATTAGCATGTTGTACAAGCGCTCACGGTGGAATTTCGACGAAATATGCGATCTTTACATTTTGGGCAAAATTCATAAGGACGTGTATTCGTAGGCTCGTAACTCGGCCATTTTCATAGACTGAGTTATGCACCATTCGATAGCACACTTCCCAGCAACTTTGACTTAGAAAAGCAAGCAGGCAAGTTTTCTGACAGATACGCGAGAAGTGCGGGCAAAGTTACGCACTTTCGTGGTGCTGTTACAGTCACCTCACCGTATCTCTCCAAAAAGACCCTGTAATCCGCAAAAACCACGATTTTCGTAAAGAGCGTGTTTAAAAACCTCTATAAGCAAAGTTTCCTTACAATTCAAGAGCATCAACATTTTGGGCAAAATCCATCGGCGAACCTTCAGAGCGTATAACGAGAAGAAATAACCCGAACACATCGAAAAACTTACTCATAGAGGTTATCCGACCTGTCGATTTCGAAACTCACATCTGCTTAGCAAGATAGCTTCGTATTCTAGGACTATGGCGAGTAGAATTTGGGACGACAAGATTTTTCCACATTTCACCAACCCTTCTATTTCCTTTGAAAAGAAAGCTGCGTCTACTATTTAGCGCATCATAATCTACAGAAAAAGTACTTTCGAAAGGTCTTTGCTGGAATTTAGTCGGGGGAAAACTCGCTGCCTTACACCTTCGCAAAAAGACGTCCGCGGGAAGATTTAAGAATACAGAAATCAATCAAGTACGTGCTATATATGAAAAGATTCGCCTTGATGAGCTGTGCATAGCACTGTTTTCGGATTTAATGTACTCATTCCGAAGGAAGTTATGGCGAGAAGAATTTAAAAACGCGTGATTTTTCCAGAATTCACCAACGCTTATCTCCTTTGCAAAGAAGCCTGAGCCTATTTTTTAGCGCACAATAATTTAGAAGAACGTATTATCGAATAGTGCTTACTGGAACCTTCCATGTTACACAGACTGCGTTACATCCTTGCGAAAGGACCTCCACAGAAAAATTCGAGAAAACTGGAAACGAGATAACTAGGACATGCTATACATCAAAATATTTGCCTTGACGATCTGAACAAAACGCTGCTTCAGGATTTAAAATATATTTATTGCGAAGGAAGTTATGACATTGCGTATTCTGCGTGATTCCCGTGATTCCGCGGATGCTAGAATGTTGCGAACTTCCAGGAATATCGCGGACTGTGGAGTAATCCCAGAATTCAGCGAGGTTCACATAAATTTTGCATTCTATGAGCGGTATTGTGATCTTGAGCAGATTTTAGAGCACATTTGATCAGACTGACTCTCTATCATGCTCCTACAGTATACTTTCTATGTGTTATCAGCAACAAATCAATGACAATACTGTTATCAGCACACTGAACAATCCAACCAAACAGAAATCTGCAAAACTGAGCGAAAACTTACTGTCCAGCTAATATCTATCATATTCCGCTAGATTGTGGATCTCCTAAGTAGATGATGCGTCTCGCCGAGCCGAATCGAACAGTGTTCTCAGATTCAGAATTCGTTCATTCTGAAGCGAGATATGGCGATGCGACGCGGGTTCCGACGGACTCTAGTGATGTGCGACGCACTCCGCTGCTCTCCGGCAGACTCTAGTGGAGCCGGCGGAGTGCGCCGCAGTCCGGCGACTTTTTTGACGAATTAGGAGCGGTATGTAACAGTATTCATCATGCCGAGATTTATAGAAAGTCGAACATTCCGGAAGATTCATCGGCTGGAGGGACCGGGAAAGGCAGACTGCTCGTACCCGCAATGCGACGCGGTTCGCGTTTCTCTTGCCAGCGTAATCTCTGATAATCATTCCCTGAGATTTGGCCTCGAAGCCCCTCCTCCCAGCCGCCATTCCGTTGAATTAAAAGGTACACTTCAAGTGTTGCCAGAACCGCTGCTTTTACATCAGACTAACGTTTGCCGTTGGAACGTTTGGGTCCCTTACTACACGCTTTACCAAGTCCCTGCGGCGCAATCAATTATAATAAATGATACATGAATGAATTAGCAGCATAAACTGCCTATATTCGAAGTTCATAAGCGGTAGCTAGCTTCACCCACCGTCAGATATAATAGCACTGCTGATACGATGCTTGCCATTTGCGGGCAACCAGAATCGTGAAAATGATTATTATGATTGTTCTCACGTTTAAATACCTCGATTGATCTGTAATCTTTGATTTCACCGGTACGTTCAAGATCAACGTATCTATGTAGCAATTCAGCTTGCTTGGTGCATCCCCCAGATTTGTTTCCATATGAACCATCAACGTGGCTGTATTTCGATCATTTTAACATGTCAACTTCGAATAAGTGCCTTAAACTTGCTGGAAATGTGTTAAAACTACCAAAAGGCAGCCACCTTGATGGTTCATATGGGAACAATTCCGGGGGATGCACGATGTATAACACACATATCCTGTGATAAAATGTGGAAGAATCGAAAGCACAATGTTTGCGCGAGAGTAATGCTTGAAAACAGGTTTTCTCACTTCTACTCTACTTTCCCGATAGCAAAACATGCGTCAGCTAGCTTCCTGGCCGTGCCTGTTGACGCTTTTGCAGCTGTTAGCCGCTTTCGCGCAGGTTGCCACTATTGCAGCCGAAGCGCAATGGGTCAATACATTGTCTTTCTGGGGCGCATGCGGCGCGAAAAATCATTGATAAATCCACTTATCTGTGCTTATATCTTTTTCTTAGTTCTTCTGTTGTAGGCTGGTTTCAAGTTACAAGTCTCTGGATAACGGCTGCTCTAAGACTTGAACATTGCGACCAAGGACAAATATTCCCTACATTCCCCTGGAATTTATAGAGTTGGATGTTTATTGCGGTTTTTTTTAGTATTTATTGAACTCAAGTCTTATGCTCTTGTAAGTGATGCTTTGAAAAGCTGGATGCGATATTGAAGAGCATTTGTGCAAACCATGTTGCATGGACGTAAGCATGGGGAAACCCTATCACCCACAACAAATATGAAACTTGAGCTAAACTTAAAATGAAAGAGATATTAACGAAGAACACCACATGTAGGTAACGGTTTTACACTCAAGTACCAAGTTTATTGTGAGTGATGCGGTTTTTCATGCTTGTGGCAATGCGCCATCAAGGATTTGCACAAATCCTCTTCGAAATTCGCATGCAGCTTTCTACCGCATCACTCACAAAAAGCACAAAATTTGATTTTAACACATTGACGACAAAGCTCATTTTATTTTGTCTCATTGTGGGGCAATGCCTTCAACGAACAAGTTGACAAATTTTGGCTAAATTACGCGGATCGTCATCTACGAAGGAAACAGGAAGAGCCGAAAAACGATGGAAGCGATTTCTAGCATCAGAGCGTAAGTGAACTACTGAAACAAATGTATTCCAGAATAGTAATCATCAACAAAATTCAACCCGTGACCCACATGTAGGTCACGTTGTCGTCGATTTGCTAAGAAAATCTGTAAGAAAAGCAATGAACAGACCACTTCGTAACCCTCCCTCCAGTTTAATGTAGGCGATACTAGTGCATCTATTCTCAGATGCGATACTTTTTTTACTAGAGCAACCAATCCAAAATTTGTACATGGAAACCAGCCTATAACAGAGATATTAAGGAATAGGTACAAAACCATAAAATTAGACTAATCAATGAATTTTTGCACCGTATGCCTGCCAAAGAGACAATGTCTTCACCCAGCGCGCTTCGGCTGCAATAGCGGCGACCAGCGGAGGCAGCTAACGTTTGCAAAGGTGGAATGTCTTCCAAGCTCTCTTGAAGTTGATGTCCCATTTTTTTGGGGTAAACACATAGTTTGTTGGCAACAGATCGTTTTTGGCCGCTTTTGGAGACTTACAGCTAGATGTTCGTTTCTGTTTCAAGCTTAAGCAACGTTTCCCATTCCAAGAATATACAAAAAGTAGCAGTTTACGCTGCATCAGCAGGCGAAAATTTGCAAAAAAACGTTGAAAAACCATATCAGACAGAGACGATATGCCGAAATGATTGAATGGGAAATGCTTGAAAAGTTCTTTGACAGCGCTACGGAGTGGAACTGCATCCTTTCACCTGTCTCATACATTAAAATCATGGCCAAACGTCAGGATACACCGCGCTGCCGCTTCGCCGCGCCCGCTGCGTTCAAATTTTGTGCCTTTCACGAAACTCAGCGGTGCCAGAATGGCATAGGGGGAAACTGAGGGGAGGGTGGCGAGGGTGTTGACTGATGCATGAGGCAATGTCATGAGTAACATTACGCCAGAAATGATGGCGGGAGCTGGTTTTTGGGCTGGTGATTGCCGCGTAAAGGAAACCTTAGCAGGAATGTTTCCTTGTTGTTTGAATGTTCAAGGCCTATATCACCTTTCTTTTGCCCTACCTCCGATTAATATGTTTACATAAGCTCGTAGACACCAATTTCTTATGAAGCGGCTGGTTCATGGCAGAGTAACTGCACCATATGAAAAGCCAATCTTGCTCCACAAGACCTGTTGTTCGTCAACTGTATGCCCTCTGCTTTTTTCTCAATTACGCTTCCGTTTATGACATTCTGAAGGCAAAGTTTTTTATGGTTTCGGTACCTGCACTTTCCTGATTTTGGCCATACTCCACGAAAATTCTTTTCCATGAATGGGCAGGACATCTAGCTGCAAGCAAGGCAAGCCAATATAGCCACTATGCTCAGAAATGTTTGAATGGACTCTCAATAGTTGCTGTTCCGACTTTGTAGCTTTATTTGCGTTGCCATGCAAAAGAACGTTCCAGTTCTGTTTCGGGCCTTGACCAATAATAACTCTCAAGTCGCGCAAATGTTTGAAATGTTTTCAGAGGACTTTTGGCGAAGAGAATTCTCAAGTACTAATTACTATTGAATGTCAGACATCCACATGTATGACAAAGGGCGCCCTTTACTGCAATTTCTCTAAAAGCCTACTATTATATGCAGTATCGAAAACACTTTCTCTCATTTCGATCACAAATGGAAACTTTCCATTAGTTTTTCTCATTTGAAGCGGAAGGTGCAAATTCCGAAATCGCCAGTTTTTTGCCCATAGAAAAAATTGCTTTGACATACGTAAATGGCATAAGTTTGCTTCAAAAATGAGGAGCCATTTTTGAGCAATACTGCTCTTCTGAGTGGCACCTATACTTCGCCGTAACAAAGACTCATGAGAGAACCATGACAGAAATGAAAATGAACTCATGAAACAACTTGATATTAGCTGGGGTTTCCTGGAAAATCAACGAGCGATCCGAAAATGCCCTGTGCAATACATTCTGCAAAAAGCTTATTTATGCTGTATTATAATTATTGCACAAGAAGTGCGCTTTTACAATTCATAAAACACAAGTAATACTTATTCAGAAGTAAAAGAAAATAGTGAACTCAAGACAGGACAGCCACCTAGAATCACTATCATTGAGAGAAAGGAGAAGGTTCTCAGATAACAGCCGCACTCAGTCTTGAAAGTTAGTTCAACACTACCACATTAATATGACATGACATAGGGATTATAGCACGAAAATTGATTATTTAACTAAAGTTTACTATCTTTTCTGGGGTTGGTGAATAAACCGAGCATAATCAATTTCGCTTTATCTCACTTTATGTTGACCAGGTTCAAATAAGCAAGAGTGAGGCAAAGCAAATGAGCCAAACCGTACGTGCCTTGATTAAATCGCACTGATAAAGGAAGGTCAGATATCGAAGTGCTAATCCAGACAAGCTGCATACCGTTAGATGCAGCATGAAACGCTGACTCTAAATCTCTCTTCCTTATCTGCTTATCGCTTTTCTGAACGAAGCTATAAGCCATTGAATGTCATTATTTTGCTATGAAATTATGCGTAGGGAAAACTTGGCCGTACAGAGCCAGGTTAGGCTTAATGCTGGGTCAAAACATGCAGCTAACTTATTTCAAATTCTTAAAGCCTAAAGCTGGGCTGAAAGTGCAACGATGCGCTCAATTTCGCAGTTTTTATGCACGATTTTTCCACAATAAAACTACTTGTAGCTTCGTCCACAGGAGCCAGAAGCAGATAAGGAAGACAGATTCGAAGTCAGCGTTTCATACTGCATCAAATGGTGTACACTTGTTTGGTTTGGCCAATTCAACTTCTGACCATTTCCTTGTGAGCTCGCCCTGCTTACCTTGTACAAGGTACATTAACAGGGTTAACTTGCATACGTTACTCCCTATGAGTCTCTATTAGAACTTAAAGTAAGGGGGGTGAGACAAGGTGAAACCAAACTATGCGCCCTTGTTCAATCACAAAGCTCCGTTGTGAGACGCCGACATCTTTCACTCCCTAGAATTTTCACAAGGGTGTTTTTAATCGAAATGGACTTTCGAAATGAAAACTAAACCATTGAAAGAGCACAAAATGATGTCCAAATCTGCCTTCGAAGTATGCTGCTTAATCTAAAAACCGAGCTGTGATTTTTTGAAAATTACATGAAAACCGAAACTCATTCAAAACCGCTCTAATGAGCCAGTTTCGATCATTGGGGCAACCTACGCAGTAGACATCATCTTTCCTAGTAAAAAACCTCGCCAAAGGGTCTTAACAACTGATTTTATCTGAATCATAAGTTTATTTTTTGCTATAAAAAACACTAATGAATCGGCGTCCAGAGAAGCGCAGCTGTGATAAATGCAGACTTGGAATTTGCGTTTATTCCCTGCAAATATAAAACTCATCCGAAAAGGCCTCTCCAACCAAAAACATCTTCTTTTTCAGTGCTCTCGAACTTCTGTTGCTTGTGGAGATTCATAGCAACGTGCTTAAAGTATTTACTTCTATTTCTTCGCAAATTCTTTTGATTTCTTGCGAAAATTTCTGCGGCTTCCTTAATTCAAAAGCTCGCAATAGCTTCAGTTTTCCCTTTCTTGATTTCCTTCTCAGTCAGAAAGAAAGTTCAAATAACGATCGTAATATCAGTGCATGAGAATACTTTCGGCACCCATACAGGGTGTCCCAAAAAAATGTGAACACTCTTTGATCGTTAATAACTCCGTTGCTTTCATGTCTTTCGCCGAGCTTGAGGCACCATTCTGTAGAGCGAGGTTCAACTTAGATTTATGGTATAGAGCGAATCATCGATCGCTCTTCATTACTGTAGGATTACGGTATGAACTTCTGACATGTGGTATATTGTGAAATATGCCATTTGACAAAATGCTTTTCAAAAAATCTGAAAAATCGTGAACTAAGGTTTTCGCCCTCGCTGATTCCATAACACAACTTTTTACGAGTGTTTTTAGCTTCTTTGACGGTGTAATCGCATTTTTGACAAATGCTGGAAATTCGGTTATTAAGGTTTACCTGGGATAACCTTGGAAAGAAGCGTCACAGCAAGGTGGAAATTTCATGTTCGAACTCAGCGGCTTCCATTTCCCATGTATAAAAGTTTTTGGCTTGTTTGGTCTTGTTCCGAGGCAGAATATGGCTTTCAATGGCTTATAATCCTAGTCAAAGTTCCTACCGTAATCCTACAGTAATGAAGAGAGATGGACGACTCGCTCCATATTATAAATTTAAGCTAGACCTCGCTTTATAGAATGGTGCCTAAAGCTCGGCGAAAGACATGAAAGCAAGGGAGTTATTAACGATCAAAGAGTGTTCACATTTTTTTGGAACACCCTGTATATGCAAAGAACCTCCATGCGAAATGAACGCATCTCGCGCGATCACTGATTTTTTTTCTACAAGTATGAATAACTTTCAACCTTCGTTAGCAGGCCAGAGATAATACAAGTGCCTACATACTGCATTAGGTACGAGGTTTTAAACATAATCGTCAGTTTATTTTGTATCGTGATTGATTGTGTTGAGAATGAATGATCGAATGAATGAATGAGTAAATAGGAAATCTGCACGCATCTCACGTTTACATAATGGCGTCATGCTTTACGGCACTCTAGCGCAAAAGGGCCGGACCCTCCTCTCCCTCGCTGCAGTCACAGCGCACAATCAAATCTCTACACTTAATAAGTGAGCTTTAATCATAGAAATGTCAATCACTTTTTCGCACATTTTTCACAGTTTAAGCAAATGCGACGCGCAAAATCATTGCCACATTTTATCCTGAAGATACGGTGCATCTTGCTCTGTTTCTAGAGTTGTGAGCAATCTACATGCGTACAATTTGAATTAGTTTTAATGGGCTTGTAGCTTTCAATTTATTGCAAATGTAAGGAAACTCAAAGTAACAGGAATCTGCGAATGATCGAAATTTACAGCCAAATCAAATTTTCATCTCTCAACTATAAACTGTATCCCACTGGATTCTAATTCGAAAAAGGTCTTATAAGGATCATGCATAGGATCAGTCTAAACTTCTTGATTTTACAGGGGTTGCAATATGGGCAGGAAAGGAGACATAAATCCACTAATGGTTGTCGTAGCGAAATAATTCATTAGGAAGAACAGCACAAATAACGAAATAGCAAAAGTTCAGCAGTTAGGAAATTTTGACCTCTTGCCGTACATCTCCCTCAAGCTTAAGGCAACCCTGCAAAATGTGGAATGAGTGCATTCTTCGTGATCAGCCTTTCTAACTATACTTCACCGCATTCTTTAGCTTATTACCTGCCATAATTTTAGTCCTAATAACGTCAATAAAGTAAATATTCGCTCTAAAAAATGAAAGAGAACAGTATCTTTTTCCTTGACAAAGTAACAGTCTTTCTTGGTCTAAACTAGAAAATTTGCTTTCTATCTCTTCCAAACAACGGATTTAGAAGTGCTACCAAGACCTGATCACTGTTGTCACCTCGAGTATAAATATTCCCAACACTGGCACAAAGCAGATAAAGACGAAGCAGCTTTAAACATCTAATATAGAATCTACAACATTTGGGCTAACCGAAGAACTAAAACAGCATGAAAAAAGCTTTCTCTGATTGTGAGATAAAGCTAAAGAGATTAAGCACAATCAAGCAACCTAAGCTACGTCAGCCTGAGCTTAGGTTGCGCTTGACGCAATTAATTTGCCTTCAAAATCCACATATTGCTCCGTTTATAGATCGCAAGGACAGAAGTGATCTTTTTTACCATAGTAGAAATTTGGTTACTAGAAATCTAATTCTAAATCTCTTCTCATTTGAATTGAAACCATCATGCAGTGAGTTAGACGAGCAGACTTCAAGGAATCAAGAACCCATCAGTACAACAAAGAATCAAAAAGTCAGTAGTACAAACCCATTTCTTTCTTTCTTACTTCCCAGAATGCCACACGATGAGATTTTAGAATGCGGATGAGGAATGAATAAGGAGGTAGTGCAAGAGTATGGTAGGAGGGTCGTTTTTGAATGCGTGCTTGACCTCACGTTCAACTCTGATCACAATTCATAGCAGACTTCAATAATCACACATTTAATCTCTCAGCTTAAATGTGTGATTATTGAAGTCTGCTGTGAATCTATGCCATAACATTGTATAGATGACCAGCAGCACATTCATTGTACATATAGCTTCAGACTATTCTATTTGGCAAATCTTTTCGTACAGATCAATGCACAATGCCTAGTTCTGAGACGCCATGATCTTCTCGGTTGCCTCTCTGAGTGTCTTTGTGAATGGCAGCATCATTGGTGCCACTTTGTGTACCTGAAACAAATGGGGTTTTTAGGGTGCCACTTATATATCATTGAACTGCATTCAGAGCTGAGTTTCTATGATACTTTATCCACGAGGTATTTATCGATATCCAACTTTTGCGCACTTTTTTGGCAAAAAGTATGAGCACATTCCATAAATTTTTTTATTTCATCGACATTAAGGGCAGTGTCCAGGCAAAAAATCGCTTTATAGTAAGTCAAGCTAGAGAGCGCGAGGAAGTCAGAGGCGGCGTTTTTCAAATCTTAGAAATTGGTCGGGTGATACAGTTTCTGCCAAAGCTGAGGCGCTAAGAGACCCTCTATTGTGGGCGAAATGCGTATTTTCGCGTAAAACAGAGAACTTGCAGATGGTCGAGGCTTTCCCAAGAGTTTCCCAAATTTCTTGTCATATTTTTTGCTTTTGGTTAAACGTTCTGGAATGCACCTCCTCGAAGTCGCGCACGAGGGGACTCACTTCCGCATGGCACTAAAATCCAAAAATCCCCAACCTTGCTCGGAAACTCCCTTTGAGATGTGTGCACTCGATGCGACTCACTTGGCATGATTCTTAACTTCCTGACAGTACCATTCGACTTGGAAAATGAGATGTAAATCTGTCAAATGCACCGTCCACCCCGATTCTCGACTTTAATCTATTTGTTGTTCCGGGGTCTTCGTAATTGATTCCGAATATGACGACGAGAATCGCGAGAACCCCGAGGCCGTTCGGCAGAACCCGCAGGCCGGTTTTTTGGAACGGTTGGGCGTGCACGGATGGGCGGGCGTTACTAGGAGGCGTTGCCGGATCTTCTGCTCTATTCGTTGTTCCGGAGCGATCTTCTCGCTTCCGAAGCGACATTGCGCTGCGAAATGAGCATTGGCTTGGTAGGGTCCGTACTTTCACATGCTGCCGAAGGCTTACTCCTAACTTAAGTTGGACGGTACCTTTAGGTTCGCTCTACAGATATGTCCTTTTCTTGGTTATAAAATTAACCTCAAATCCCATTAGATAAGTCCGAATCGTACCGGACTTATCTTTAGACGGAGGCTATTATTTAAGGGAAAGTTGTTCTATATGGCAGATTTTAGGGTATAACCAATATCCAATCTACTAATCGGAAGACGTTTTCCAAAACATTCCATTATTTCTTGAAAAAATTAAGCTGCAGATTATAGAGAAATTGCCGTATGATTCTGTGCTACCAAACTTTTTCATGTTGCTCCTCTAGGCTTCACAAATTAAGTTCTTTGATGAAAATTTGGGTTCAAGTACGAGACGCATAACCAAAGCTTAAAGATCAAGTAGTATGGAATTTTGAGAGTTTCGATGCTCAATTCTTATCAAGCATTCATCATCCTCAAAACGAAAGGCAAAAACGTTGGTGAAATTTCGCTTCTGAATACTCAAAATTATGTAGATTTTTCATGATTATCAGTGATTCACTTTTGTATTTTGAGACGCTGGAACAAATTTTGTGGACATAGGGCACTTTCAAAATCACTCAAGTAGCTATGCTGATAGTATCGCAAAAGCTGCACGGATTCACAAAGAAAAGCTTTTAGAAGGAGCAGAAAAACCAAATTAAATTTTCAAGCTGTTTCGGATGCTGACCCGTACATATCAAGAAAGCGGTAAAGCCTTCTGACGTCAAACCGCACAGCTGTTTATAAGACAGAAGTAATTTGAGGCTTACCCTGTTTTCGGAATCCACACCTACTTCGCATGTGACACAATTCCGAATCAATTGCTTGATCTTAACATGAAGTTAGGGTGACACGAGGTTGTAAACTGCCTTACCTGACAAATCTGCTCTGCTGTTGACCAGGGATTGTTTCTTGCCACCGCAATCACATGTGGGTTACCAACAATGACGATGACTCTAATAAGCAATTAAAACATTTGACCAAGACCAACCACTGAAGCAAAACTCACCTTTCAGATGTGCGTGAAATTTTCGAAAGGAATAGACTGACACGTCGAAGATAATCTTCCGGAGACTCCCGCGGTAGCAATTTATCGATGAAACTTCTGTATCGTAGATTTATGGGATATCCCAAGGATGCATACTGAAAGCTTAGGTTAATTATCTGATAATACGTGATACTCTGTGCAACCTGAGCCGGCTTTATCCATGTTCTCCAGCTTTCCTCAGGTGACAGCTGGACCCAATCCGAAAGAGCTGGTTCAAGGCAGATTACCGATTGAGAGTCTGCAGCAGCTCTCGCGATACCAGCAGCAGTTTGAACACATCTCAGCTCAGGTGAGCTGAAGATCTGAACAAATACCTTACGAAGTTAATCATTCACGTGCTGCACAGGTTCTCAAAATTGTATATTACTTAAAGCTTTTGTAGACAGCCTACTGATTCCCATAGATAAAACGGAAACCGACCACGGATGGATTGTATCCAGCTAATTTCATTCCTTTTCCGATGAATTCCGCAGTGAAGTTGCCATGCTCAGTTAGCGGTGGATCGTTTTTGAAATGTTCAGCTGGACGTCTGCAAAAGACAAACCACTTAAAAGGTTGCACGTACCCGTCATGCCCAAAAAAACTTTTTAAAATTTTCTTTCGTACTATTAAAATTAAAAATGGGGTTTCTATCATATATTCTACGACTAGGAGACGCGTGACCGTATTGCGGACATTGTCTCAACATGTTCGAGTTTGTTCTTTCCTGTTTTTGAAGAGTGCATAAACGTGGGCGAGATAAATGACAAGTATAAACCTGCTAAGTACACGATTAAGCTTGTTCAGGCAATGTGTGCGCGGTCTCTCGTCTCCTAGTCCTAGAATGAATGATACACAACTCATTGCAAACTCAAGTGTGCCAACGCTGTGTCAGTGTCAGTAAAGAGTGCCAGCCTGTAGCGGTCCACATAGATGCGCCTGTATTGATCGATGGACTTCAAAACGTCGATGACACGACATTGGAGCACTAGCACAGCGTCGGTACGCGCAAATCTAACATAAGGATATAAGTAGCTTTCAAGCAACATACTCAGTAGATTCGAAAATGGAAAAGATCGCTAACCTGGAAACGAATTTGAGGATTAAAAGATTCGGCGTCTTCAATACCCTCTGCGGGTATGCGCCGAACTCACACTACTTCGTAGTCGAAAAAGACAATTGTATGCTTGCGAGCCTTTACAATGACTTATGGGCCAACCTTTTATCAAGTCAGTGCTTTATTCTCCCAGATTACTCTGATACCAATTTACCGCCCCCGGAAAGTAGAGTTTGAATGGCCCAGGGCGGGATCGAATCTGCGTCCGACCTGGCATAGCGGCGCCCAATACCACTAAGCTATTCGTCCCCGGAAACAAATTTAAAAGAGCAAATCGACGGCACCAGTACATATAGTTCCTTTTTTATAATAGTAGTCTTACCTCGGAATGACTGCTGGCATGTTCAAGTCGTATGGCTGATAAACTTCTCCTCCGCCTCTATAAGCCAGTCTCAGCCATTGGGGAAAAACCTCGGCTACTGTCTCTCCATGAGAAACTGAATAAGACTAGCATAATTACCACATTGAAAACTCGTCTTATATATGAAGCACATGTTTGTATGTCTGCACTATACGTGTCCAAAAAACTCCATCTCTGAAGAGATACGGTCTCTGCACATATTTTAGGGCAAGATGTAATAGGTTACTTTTTAAGTTGCTGCATAAGCTGTGCCCGTTTTCTGTTGCCATGTGACAAAGCTGTTCCAATAGATGTTCGTCTTCAATGCGGTAGTATCTATAACGTTAGAGGCGTTTTTCTCGCTCTTTCTGATGCTGTTAGATTCTAATAAAATGCCAACTGTTACAAGATAGCAGGTCCCAAGTCCGGGTTGGCCGGAATACAGTCTCACTCAACGAATATGTTCTTGTAAAAAAATTTCCTCAACGCGGCCTCCTAGTCAAGCTTTTGTATTGGTTACGGAATAAGGATGTTGCATATTCTCGTGCATATGCACAAATTCATTCTCACAATTCTTTTTATGAATGTTGTTGAATGCTCATTATTCATATGAAGTTCCTATATGCATCAGCTTATTGTTTTCTAGAGGCAATCGATGAGTCTTTTGGAGGTGCTAGAGTAAAGCTAGCAGGGCCCAATCACAAACTACTTTTTACCGCATGCGACAAGTGTAAAAAATTTCCTTTTCAAAAGTAGGCATATACGCAAGTATTAGAACGAGCTCAGAATTCGGCTTCTGTCAAAAAAAAACTCCTCGGCATCAATGACGCTATGGGCTGTTATTGTTTGCGAAATAGTTTTTGAATTTCTCTTCAATTGAAGGTAGCAGACCCTATGGGTTCTCATGTCAAGAAAGCCAGGTCTGAAAAAAATTATACGAGAATTTCGAATTCTACTTCGTCCTTTATGGAGTTTTTCGCAATGCTTAGCATCTGTGTTATTGCCATAATGTGCATTCGAAGAATTTGATGTTAGCGAAACAGTCGTTTTCGGAAGAACATATGATATTCGATAACCAAAACAGCGAGTCGAATGTTGTCGAATGCTCATTCCTATGAAGTTTGAGTCGGACAGAACTTATGTAGATGCGGTACTGCGATAAACAATCTGCTGCTACTTGTCTCAAAATATGTATGACGAACGGATTGATCTCTGACCTAAAATTAATTCTGCTTTGGCCTTTTTGCAGTTTGTGGAATTGCTCGACTTAAAACGTGAAGATATGGACATTGAAAAGAAAGAAGGAAGGTGGCAGACAGACTATCATCGGAAAACGCGTCAAGAAAAGGTTTGTGATTAAGTGTTGATTTTACAAGGTTTTTCCACATGGCATGATGCCTTGGAGATCTTCTTTGAAGATTTTCTAAGGCAACTGTTAGTAACACGGCAAGCAAGTTCCAACAACTTCAATAGCAGGTTCAAAACCGTGTGCCATTTTCTGCTTGAGCTCCCCGTTCCAACTATCGTCCGCACATGGTATCTTTCGCATTGAAGAGTTGATTACATTTCATTTACAATGTTCAGCACACGCGGAGAGTTTCATAGCAGATTTCTTCATTGTAAGGTCAGGTGGGTATCTTGTTGATGAAAAACTGGCGCGAGTCAATGTATATACAGTGCTGGAAGAGAAGATTGCCACGCCTTAAGTTCAGATAATTTTTTCATAATTTTTTGTACATAGTCCTAATTCCCTAATGCCCATCTACACACCAATTTTGGTGTCATTTTATTTCCTTTTCGCTGTAAATAAATCGTTTGTTTATTTCGGGGCAAGTTTGAATTCGCACGCTCAACCGGCGAATCTGTTGAAACAGGATTTTTTTGGTTTTTTCAGGAATGGAATCGATAAGGCAGGAATGAAAAATTTGTGTCCTCTATAGAAATTAAAAGGTAATCTGAAGGGAGAAGGCGATTGTAAGTGTAGGGAGGAGATGGCTTACGGGGCAAGCTGGATATCGTTTTGGAAGAAAAAGCAAGGGGATATCGGTTAAGCAGAAAACCCAGATTTCTTCCTCCCCCCCCCCTTCCACACACACACATTCACACACACATACATACACACATGCAGTCGATGTCAAAAATCTACCCCCTTTTCTGCAGACCTCGATTTTCATGCACGCGCCGCAAGTCCCGTGCGCCACGTTCGCGGGCGGATCAGGGCATTTTGCCAACTCTCGATCAATGGCGCCCATATGACGCCCGATTCGCATTCTTGAATGTTTCACCTCCTTACTTGTTCTTTTCTCGCCTTTCGCGCTTTACTAGTGTTGGAAATTTGATGTTTAGATTGTATGATTGTTTTTTTACTCACTACATTGTAGTATCTGATTTTTAGTACTTGTATCCCGTACTCGGTATGAAAACGGAGTGATACTAAGCCTTTTTTCTTTCTTGTAAAGTTTTTGGATTGATCTCTATGTCAGCTTTTTATTAGTAAAGCCGATGTGTTGCCGACGACTTCTTGTCAACCCTGTCCATTTTGTAGTGTTCCTCTCAAAGTTATACTTTCAGATAGTCTCAATCTTAGTAATCACTAGCACTAATATGGTTAGTTCATTTTTTTAGTACGTAAAAATACATGACGCCCCTCCAAAGCAGTGTCACCTTTACTGTTTTTCACCATTATTCAGACTTTCCTGAAGTAAATGAATAAATGAAGCAAAAACGGCACAAAACCAGTTCAGATCGTATGCAATTCAATTGCGAGACACAGCGAAAACCAATCAAGTACGTTTAGACAGAGTAAAAGGAAAATGAGCACGAAAATATCTAAAAAGGTTCAAAAAATGCAAAAGCCCGCGCTCCCACAAACGTCATCGATCGAGAGTTGGCAAAGCGCCCACGTCGTACGCACGCGAACGGAGCGCATCAGCCTTGCGCTGCGTACGCGTAATAGCGACGGACTCGTGAGCTCCTCATTAACATCGACTGTACACACACACGCACACACACTCCTCCTCCCTTTATGTCACCTTTCATCTTTTATAGAGGCACGCAAATTGTCATTCCTGCCTTATCGATCCCATTCCTGCAAAAACCAAAAACTTCCTGTTTCAACAGGTTCGCCGGTTAAGCTCGCGAATTCAAACTTGCCCCGAAATACACAAACGATTTTTTTACAGCGAAAAGAAAATAAAATGACACCATAATTGGTGTGTAGATGGGTATTAGGAAATTAGGACTATGTACGAAAAGTTATGAAAAAAATTATGCGAACTTAAAGGCAGCAGCTCTCCAAAACCGAACATCCCGAAATTTCGACAAGGAAGGTGCTTTCACCCCAAACATGAGAACAGAGCAGGTCCGAGCGCACAGCATGCTGCCCTTGCCCAGAAAGCTGCCCCTAAACCCGTTACGCGCAAGCCATTCTAATACGCGCGGACGAGCTTGCGATTCTCCCCGATCCGTCAGAGAAGGCATGCAGCAATGTTATAACTGCGAGTGTCCCGCAACGATTCTGCCTCTCTGACCATGGGGGACGTGCTCCACTCGTCCAAATTCAAAGTGGGAGGCCTTGGGAAATGGTGATTTTCGCCATTTTCGCGCTCTTCGAGCTAGATTTTCGGAATCAGCGCCTCGGATTACCCTAGGAACGCAAAAAAACTTTGAATCGAGAATCTGCCGAGCCACTGCCTTCAAGGCGTGAATCTTTTTTTTGGGAGTTATATGGCTTTTCAGCCACCTGGACAGCCAGCTGAGTGTAAAAAGAAAAAGTCATAAATTTCTTTTTCTTCACATAATTTTTCCGTATGTTCAACATGACTATGCTCTACATCAAAAACCTACAACTGAGTTTTTGAATTTCCCTGAATCCTCTCTTCCTCGCCTAGTTACAGCCCTTCAAATATTTTGTATGGCGGCGGTAAGCCCGCTCCAAGCGCGCATTGGTGCGCGCCGGACACAGCATGTAGCTAATCCGGAGATTACAAATATTTTTAGTTCTTTTCGTTTGTTTAAATTTGTTTTTATGTTTTGTTCCAATATTTTTCTCGCTATTCGTTTTGATTCATTCATGAACGCGTCATAGGTGATGTCGTATTTTTGTGGCGAAGTCTACGGGGACATCGTTTTTGCAAAAGCGAAAAAGCCACCTCATGCCGAGCCCTGCCTGGTAACAGTTGTGGTTGGAGGAATCGCGAGGCGATGAAATGTCGTGTTGTTATGCTTGGCCATTAAGGAAAATCATGACTTATAGTAAAGGGCTAAGGGTGTTTGTGTGTGTGTGTGTGTGTGTGTGTGTGTGTGTGTGTGTGTGTGTGTGTGTGTGTGTGTGTGTGTGTGTGTGTGTGTGTGTGTGTGTGTGTGTGTGTGTGTGTGTGTGTGTGTGTGTGTGTGTGTGTGTGTGTGTGTGTGTGTGTGTGTGTGTGTGTGTGTGTGTGTGTGTGTGTGTGTGTGTGTGTGTGTGTGTGTGTGTGTGTGTGTGTGTGTGTGTGTGTGTGTGTGTGTGTGTGTGTGTGTGTGTGTGTGTGTGTGTGTGTGTGTGTGTGTGTGTGTGTGTGTGTGTGTGTGTGTGTGTGTGTGTGTGTGTGTGTGTGTAACGAAATTCACAGAAAGAGTCACAAACAAGGTTTCAAGCCGCAATTTTTTTGAACAAAACGCATTGCCCCCATCCAGATTCACCATGCCAAAGTAAGACTAGATCCATTGGATAGGTCCCTCAAAAATCGCAGCGCAAACGGACCCTCTTGACGTCTGACGCGCAATATTGGGTCCATATTACCACTTATTGCAAAGTCGTGATTATGTTTGGCAAGTGAATGTGCAAGCCATGATCTTTAGCCCAAAAAAAGTGATGAAAGTCTATTACCCCACGAAAAGGCGCCAGAACGAATTATTTGCGTAAATGGTCAATTTGCCGGGTTTTATTGAGAATTTGAGAAGATTTTTGCACAGGGTGTAGCTCGCCATGGATTTTATACTCATGACGACTACCACAGCCTGAAAAATTCAAAAGTTTTTCAATTCTGCATATGTTCTTCATCTTCCAAAGTTCCATCCACACAAATTACCGATCTCACACAAAAAAGCTTACCGAATGAGTGCTTGTTTACGTTTCAGTCGTGAAGGAGGGCATTTTGCGGTATGTTTCATTGCTATGTTATGAGAGAATGAGTATGGCATATAGAAAGAAGAGCCAGTGCGAGCCTCTGCGAAGCAGAGTTGACGCATTGGTATGCAAGAACATTCTAATACAAGTAGGAGATCAATCTTTAGGCTAAGTAAAGCTGCAGAGTTCGTGTTAATCACGTGCTCCCTTTTCCGTAAGCGCAGTCAGTTTCGCGTCACGTTTGCGCGCGTATGGCTCGGGCATTCAAATTGGCCTTATCGATTGGCGGTAGGCGCGCAGGGCCCTTGCGTTGCGCATGCGTAGGTCCCATACGAAAGGGAGTACGTAATTGACATCGACTGTACTAGGTTTTCTATATCTCTTTTCTGCCGTTTTGATTATCTACATTTCAGTCCCAAGAGCTTAACTTTTAAAGCCCTTTCAAACTATGAAACCAATCAACCCTATGAAAACAGTTGTTTGCCGCGAAAATGAATTACGAGTCGATAATGCAAAGCTTACCGAACAACATTTTCGTTCGCATATCCGTTCCAGCGACCAGTCTACCGTTAACGCAGAAATTTCCGCAAGTTTTGGAGTAAGGTTCCTCGCAGTCTGAAGCAGGCCACATTCGTTTTCCTCGACATAAAAGCTTCTGATCCAACCGCCGCAGTAAGCGTCCATTCGGAAATCAAAGGCAGATGAAGTAACCTAGCCGTAATCGACTAATCCTTTTATATGTAAGTGATAACACATATAGTTATTCCAGCATGGGAATCCTGGGGGTGGTCGTTTTATCGGCAATTTTTCACTTGCATGTACTATTGAAATATGAGAGTATCGGTCCAAATGGAATGTCAATTACCAAATTTAGTAAAGACCCGTTCGAGCGTATAAGACATTGGAAAAATCGTGACGATGGCGCGACAGCGCGCGACACGCACGCACTTCCATTTCTTGGTTTCTACTTTGTCCGAATGGTTTTTCTGCTCACATATGGTTATATTAAGACCATAGGTGCGATGAGGTAAGAATGACCCCTCCTGGTTGAAGGGGGTGACAGCGGTCGCAGCCCTTCCGGGTAAAGGGTGTTTCACTTGATCGGGAAATTATTAGGTTGTAAAGAAAGTTTCGGGACCTTGCGCATTTTTTCAAATCGCTGTAATTTCAAGCAGATTGATCCTTTTTCAGAGGTACAAATTGCATTGCAAAGAGAATTTCGTCTACAACATATAGCTGTCGTGCAGGCTTTTCAGCACCTCATAGCGGTCCACTAGCATACGCAGAAAGGGTGATTTTTCGATCAAGTGATAGTTCGCACTACTACTGGCACCAAATCAGCAAAAAACATCCATCGAATTCATGCTTATGGTCCGAGTTCACATACTAGAAGGAAATATTTTGACAAGCCTAATTCAATTCCTTTAGCTTGCTCATGGTTTTGGTCCGCAAAGATCCACGCTAGTAAGCAATCGTGCTTGTGAAAGCTATTTTGCACAACTGCCTCAAGTCTATTTTCAGAGATTTTTAGCGAATGACGGCCTTATCTTGCGGCTGATTATAAACAAAAATTTACTTTTATTTCATTGGTTTTCGGAAAACCTTGAGAAGGCTGAGAGTTGATATGGGGGAGGGGAGGGGTAAGCGAGGATGCTGATTATGGATAAAAATTGACTTTATCGATTTTATCAATTTTAGAAAGCTTGAGCTACGAGGCTGAGAGTTGGTAAAGGGGTGTGAGGGTGCTGATTATGAATGAATCGGTTTCAGCCGGGCACGTCGGCAGGTTTTACATATGGTTACTCTACAGTACCCACACTAGTTATTCGACAGAAAACGCAAAAATTGACGATCCGCGTTTTTTTCGTTTTTTCTTCATAACTTCCTTCAAATTGCATAAAATACAAATCCGAAGAAAGCATGATGCTCAGCTCGTCAACATGAATCTTCTAATGTACTGCACTCTCGTGCTATTCTGTTTTCAATCTGCTCGATTTTTGTGTGAGGACGGGTATTCGTAGTGGTGTAACTCAGCGAAGAAGACACATGGACGATTCATGTAAACATGATTCAGTAGTGCTGTCCACGTAGATTATCATGAACTAGTGAGTAGCGAAGGATTCCCTTTCCATAGGGAAAAATTGACCGTTTAATTTTGAAAAAATCGATGTCTCTCAAATTTTCGTCATCGTAACCCTACAGTAAGACGCTAATTTGCAAAGCAGGTGTGTTTCATAATCAGCAGGTTTAACCTCTATGCGCAAGTTTTCTAAGGAATTCGGAACCTTTCATTTTTTCTCTTAGGCTTGTGAAGCTCGCCGACGGGTTTTGGCTAAAATATTGATGATCTTGGATTGACCGGAAACTTCGCCCTTAGAAGTTTTCGGACTCGCTGATTACAGAAATAGTGCCCTCTGTGCAGCATAAGTTCTTTTGGCAGAGTTATGCTGAGAGGAATGCTGCGATACTACGCAAGTTTCTAAGTTGGTCTGCCCTTTGCGCGTGTCTGTTGGACAACTTATCTGCTCCTTTTTGTAATTTGAAATCACTAGAGGACATGCTCTTAGGGCATGCTTAAACTAGGCCTTTACCTATATTGATCGCCGAAAAGTGAGCTGACGAACTCACGTCCGCATGAAAATCGTTCAAAATTTTAAGATCGCACATTTTGGCCAAATATCGCCACGAATGGTTACAGATGACTCTGATTGCAGATATCATGTTTATATACACATGTAAATTGATAATTTATGCCGCATACTGCTGCTTACCCCTTGTGCCAACTCTTACACCTGTAACTCAAAGTTTGCAAAAAATCGATAAGCCAATATCGACCGATGACGAAATGTGATCTATCAGACCAGTTCGGCTCCTAAGGCTGGGTTCATACTAATTCCCATGTTCCGGAACTGTTCCCGCACAGTCCCGCAATGTCCCGCACAGAGCTGGGAACTGTGCTGCATGCGCTGCACCCTCCCCGCACGCGTTTTGAACGGCGGGAGTTGGAGAATTGACCGTTTTCAACGGTTTTTCTTCCAGATTCCTCTCATTTTGGCCTTATTCCTCTACCCTGTTTCTTTTTCTTGATCAGCAGAACTTCGAGCTCGGAGCGGGGTTGAAGAATGAGCGCTTTTCTGTTCTGCGTATGCAACAAAATGTGTGTTCTTGCGCTCGTCCATTTTCTCTTCGCTTTATTTTTACACAGACTCATTCCATTTGTTCCAGGAAGCCCCTGCGTAATTTCCATAGCCATCTGCTATGAATTAGGGAGTAGAAGCAATTCCGAAATTGCATGAATTGAGACTTGTCTCTTGTTTTGATGAGTTTCGTTTTTGGGCATTCTCAGCCCCTTTCCTTTTTCCATATCGTTGCGGGAACATTACGGGACTGTGCGGGAACAGTTCCGGAACATGGGAATTAGTATGAACCCAGCCTTAGGAGCCGAACTGGTCTGATAGATTACATTTCGTCATCGGTCGATATTGGCTTATCGATTTTTTGCAAACTTTGAGTTACATGCTGCATTCATACTGATTCGGTAGTTAGGGAACAGTTTCAGCACAGCGCTCAAACTGAGTGTTGTGCTGGAACTGTTCCCGGACTTCGGGACAGTATGAACGCAGTCACAGGTGTAAGAGTTGGCACAAGGGGTAAGCAGCAGTATGCGGCATAAATTATCAATTTACATGTTATATAAACATGATACTGCAATCAGAGTCATCTGTAACCATTCGTGGCGATATTTGGCCAAAATGTGCGATCTTAAAATTTTGAACGATTTTCATGGGGACGTGAGTTCGTCAGCTCACTTTTCGGCGATCAATATAGGTAAAGGCCTAGTTTAAGCATGCCCTAAGAGCATGTCCTCTAGTGATTTCAAATTACAAAAAAGAGCATATAAGTTGTCCAACAGACACGCGCAAAGGGCAGACCAACTTAGAAGCTTGCGTAGTATCGCAGCATTCCTCTCAGCATAACTCTGCCAAAAGAACTTATGCTGCACAGAGGGCACTATTTCTGTAATCAGCGAGTCCGAAAACTTCTAAGGGCGAAGTTTCCGGTCAATCCAAGATCATCAATATTTTGGCCAAAACCCGTCGGCGAGCTTCACAAGCCTAAGAGAAAAAATGAAAGGTTCCGAGTTCCTTGGAAAACTTGCGCATAGAGGTTATCTAACCTGCTGATCATGAAAAACACACCTGCTTTGCAAATTAGCGTCTTACTGTACGGTTACGATGACGAAAATTTGAGAGACATCGATTTTTTCAAAATTAAACGGTCAATTTTTCCCTATGGAAAGGGAATCCTTTGCTACTCACTAGTTCGTGATAATCTACGTGGACAGCACTACTGAATCATGTTTACATGAATCGTCCATGTGTCTTCTTCGCTGAGTTACACCACTACGAATACCCGTCCTCACACAAAAATCGAGCAGATTGAAAACAGAATAGCACGAGAGTGCAGTACATTAGAAGATTCATGTTGACGAGCTGAGCATCATGCTTTCTTCGGATTTGTATTTTATGCAATTTGAAGGAAGTTATGAAGAAAAAACGAAAAAAACGCGGATCGTCAATTTTTGCGTTTTCTGTCGAATAATTAGTGTGGGTACTGTAATTATTCGATAAATCTCGAGTATTTATTCGAAATTTGGCTCACAACGTCAATATAATCGATATCCATTTATTCGATGCTTTTATTTTTTAAATTTTACCGGGATTTATTCATTTACAAATTTTCAATTCTCGAATTTATTCGCTATTTGATAGTCATTCATTCGAAGAAAATTTCGAATTTTCCCCAGGTATACAGTGTACCTACCGTAACTTCCAAGACCACCTAATGGTGGAAAATGTGTACCATATTCGTAATCAGCGCACCGAATAACCCCTGGGCTAAAATTTTACAAAATTTCAAAATTTGTGAGTTATAAATCACTGCGCACCACAATACCTTCACCATGCCTGTTGAAAGTAGCAAAATGTGCCCTGGAGGACTTTTTAGCTGCCCCTCTTCTTTTGTGCACCATTTATCTCTCTCTCTCTAACCAAACTCAGTGTTATCTCTGAGTTCCACAATAGACTGTGAATGGGTTCAACGTTTCTGATTTTCACAAACGCTGATCTCCACGCTCTTCTCGACGCTGCAGACATCAAGTACCACATCATCGCTCTGCAGGAAACGAAGTCCAGGTAAAAGGACGTGCGACAGATGAGTGATGGAACCCTCATCATTCGTGGTGAGAAGTATTATCACGAAATGTTGGAGGTGTTGGATTTGTCGTCCACCCATCTATTGTCCATCTTGTCGATTCGCATGAGATCCTATCACCTCATATAGTCATATACTACGACTACGACCTCCACGTCAGAAGACTATCAGCATCATCATTTGCTGCTCTCCACCATCAGCAGCTGATGAATCAGAACTAGGTGCTTTCTACGAGGATGTGGATGAGGCCGTCCGCAAAGAGAAGTCTCCTTTTACAAGTTTGTTGTGGGCAACTTCAACGTGAAAATCGGGATGCCACTAGAAAAAGAATATAGGATCGGGAAATTTGAGTATGGACTCCGGAATGAAAACGGCAGCCATCTCGTTGGGCTTCTCTCTGCCGGTGGACTTTTTTATGGAAATTCCATCTTCATGAAGAAAAAGCATCGCCGGTGGACTTGGGAATTGCCCAACGGAATGACTCACG